AAAGCAGTAAGGCTTACAGGACAATGAAAGGGGGAAATACCAAAATATGGGTATCCTAGCTAGTTTGGGACATTTTGGAAGCTTTCTTCGAACGAAGAAATGGAAAGATAGGTAATAGCAAACCTCTACAGGAAAATAATTCATAGTAAATATATACACAAAATGGAACAAGAGATAAGGGATATTAAAACAATAGTCTGAGTGAGGTGAACATAACTGCAAGGAGAAAATGGCTTTACTTTATTCAAGCAATATAGTTCATTCAAGTAAATTGAAGAAAATTGTAGATTCAGTCATTCGTTCAGTCAGCAAATTTATTGAAGAAATAATTTCCATACTCTCTTCCAACTGGATCATTATACGGGTCTATCAGATATAATATGGTTTTATGGGCTCAAAATATATTTAAATAAATAAAATCACATCAAATACCCTAGTGTTTCAAAATATACATTAAATACATGGCACATCTTTTCAAAAAGCACTGGATATACTAGACTCTATTTGTACATCAAAATAATTTCATGCATCGCATAACTAAAGCAATTGACTTGTCTCTCTAGATTAAAGCATGAAGATTGCATTTTTTGAATTTTGATGCTACATTAAAACTACAGTGATATAAACACTAATGAATAAATAACATTTTAAAGGCAGTGTTTACATACAAAATGCAATAATTTTCTCTTTCTTGATTGCATGTTCAAGAAGCATCATTCAAGGTGGTTACTGTGTGTGCATGTAAGTGGTTTAATTAGTATGTGACCAACAGGTTTTTCCCACATTGCTTTTGCAGTTGCAACCATAAAAATACACTCATTCTTTCACAATCTGCACAGCTTTGTTTGGATTGTATGTGTTTGACAGACCTCACTGTCTGTATCTGTGGTTTTACCACAATGCCACAGTTCAACTGATTCTGAAAAATGTATAAAACCCTACTCTTTCTAAGTTACTATGCTGAGCTGTATGAGCAGAAGTTCATCAAACCTCTGTGGTGCTTACAAACAGTACGTCTACCACAAAGAGGTGGGCCTCAGAAGGCAGAGAAGGCCTTCTTGGCAAAGATGCTCCAAGGAAAATGAGAAGCCAAAACACAGAAAAGGCTCACTCGACTTCAGAATAAGTTCATTTATTCAACCTTGTTTATTAAGTGCCTACGAGATGCCAGACCCAGTTGCCTTCCTTTCCTTTTTATATGTCACATTGTTTTGTCATCCTTGATATGTCTCTCTGAACAATCCAGCACCATCACCATTACCTCCCATTAAACCGAAAGTTTCTCAAAGACTGGGACCTTGTCATATTAACTGACACATTGCCACGGCCTCAATAGATATTTATGAATGAATAAATAAATAATAAAGGTATAAAATATTGGGTAAGTAAAGGGGTATAAGGAAGGCAGGAGAGAGCATCATGGAAGATGTAGCATCAAGCTTAGCTTTAAAAAAAAAAAAAAAAAAAAAAGGAAGAGAAAAGGGCTCCAAACAAAGAGAACAGTATAAGCAAAAGCCTGGCATGGGGGGGTGGGGGGTGCATTTTGGAGAAGTTGGCAGTTGAACTGGTTGGTATATAGCAGTGGCTCCTGATCTTCTGGGGAGAAGGGTCCCTGGTTCACCACCAACCCCACTCAACTGCAAAGTTGTAAGGAATTTTATCTTTGGGGTCCTCCTATCCCCTTAAATACCCTCCATTGGCCTTGGTTTGCTACCCTTATCCTCATATCTGGATGACAAAGGCCCCTGCTGATATGGTAGTTATAGCAATTCCTCCTAGCTGAGGGGGACTTCTTTAGAGAGTGACCTCCCATTTGACTATATTCCATTCAATTCAGCATGTATTTATTGAGAGCCTTCCACGGGCAAGCCAGTGTGCTCTCTAGGGGTGCCCAGATTAATGAAGCCATCCTTTCCTCAAAGATTTTACAATCTAAATCATTTGTATTTTAATATCTAAGTATACACATCAAATGCTTTTAAGAACTAAAGAAATTGTCAATAGCCCTGGCCGGTTTGGCTCAGCGGTTGGAGAGTCGGCCTGCGGTCCAGAGAGACCCGGGTTTGGTTCCCGCTAAGGGCACGTACCTCAGTTGCAGTTTGTCCCCGGCCCTGGTTGGTTGTGCGGGTGGCAGCCACTCGATGTGTCCCTTCACGTCGATGTTTCTCTCTCTCTCTCTTCCTCTCTCTCCCTCCCGCTCTCTCTGAACAAAAAATGGAAAAATGTCCTCGGGTGAGGATTAAAAAAAAAAAGAAAAAAAGAAAGAAATTGTCAATAACACCAAAATAGGAAGGGACCTTGAAGCAAATGATCTTGCCCTGGATCCCTAAAACACCTCACTTAAAAGTGTATCTGTTCTAAAATTGCTCCTGTACACTTCCAACTTCCTATATATTGAATATGCAACAGCCAAACAGCAAAACTCATCTGGGTATGTTATGCATCTGTAGGGATCCTCAGACAAACTTGAGAGTCAGGAACCCCAAAGTATAGAGAAGTTGTAATAAGCTATGGCAACTACCAAGAGAAAGAGAACAGCCCTGGCCGGTTTGGCTCAGTGGTTAGAGCATCGGCCCACGGACCAGAGAGTCCTGGGTTCGGTTGCAGTTTGTCCCCGGCCCTGGTTGGGGTCGTGTGGTGGCAACCAGTCGATGTGTCTCTCTCACATCAATGTTTCTCTCTCTCTCTTTTCCCCCCTCTCCCTCCCGCTCTGTCTGAAGATAAATGCAAAGATGTCCTCGGGTGAGGGGAAAAAAAAGAGAACATAAGTCTGGAGGCAAAAAAAAAAAATGATTTCACCAAAGCAGAAGGGTCTGAGAAGTCTTAGGACTGAACCTTTGGAAAGCTCTTATTATATGACTCCATAAACATTTTCATGACACTGGCCCAGTAGACCATGAAGCTGGGGAGAGGGTTGAGGAGAAGGGAGGCACATGGGAAGCCCCTGCCAGAGAGACGGTCATTCATTTAATAGTTTCTACTTATTCCTATAACTATAGAGCTAATTTAATGCTGTTTTGTTTTGTTTTGGCGGCAGCAAAGTTATACCTAGAGACTGATTCTGTCTTTGCCAGCAATTTATTTAGCTGTGGAAATTATAATACATTCACAAGTCATCAGCATATAGCATAAAGCTCTTAACAGGCCACTAAAAAAAAAACATACTCCAGACAAATGACAGAGTAATCACACTGTTGATCCAGGCAAGAGGAGATGAAGGAATAGTGTTCAAATTTAACACAGGTGTACCTTTTCATATGAGGTGTCACTTTAGGAGAGAAGGCAATCCACCAAGGGCATGTTGCTAGGGAATAATTCATGAAGACACAAGTTGCCATTTTAGAAGGAGTCACCTCACCAAGACAGGAGCAACTGCCCCCAAGGATCTTCAGAGACTTTTGAGGTTAGTGAAGAGTCACCTTGCTCAAATCAAAACTCAAACAGTCCTCACAAATTCTCAATACAGTTGACCTTGAACAACATGAGTTTGAACTGTGCTCGTCCACTTACACGCGGATACTTTTCAATAAATACAGTTGGCCCTCTGTATCCTTGAATTAAACCAGCCTCAGATGGAAATAGTATTTTCACATTCCCAACCGCAGTTTCTCCACTGTGGACTCTCAACCTCAGGTAGAAAAGACTGAATCCTTGCTTGAGAAGAGCCAACTGTAGTTAAGCTTGGGGGGAAGCAAAAGTTATACACAGATTTTTGAGTGTGCAGGGGTCAGTGCCCCTAACTCCCACCTTTTTTAAGGGTCAACTATACTATCGTCTAAATGTCTCCCTGCCAGAGTTGCTTCTCCACACATTTTTATGGCTAAGCCTCCACTGGGAGCCCTCAGCAGCTAAGCGGAGTGCGTGCAAGGACAACAGATGCAATTATGACATCCTGACACAACTCACTTCATCCTCCTATCAAAATAACTTTGCTTCTAAAAACAACTTTTTTGGTCTTATCATAAACAAGTGGATTAAAACAAATTACTTGTCATAAACAAATGGATTTGAAATCATACTAAACCAATATACAACAAATGGTGTTCATTTTGTAATATGGATTCTATTCTTCCCAAGAAATATTTTCATGGCCAATTTAAAATTCAGAGCTAAAAAAATCCCTTCAAATACTGTTGTTGTTGTTTTTATCCTCACCGGAGGACATTTTTTCATTTTTTTGTTCAGATAGAGTGGGAGGGAGAGAGAGAGAAGCATCAAGGTCAAAGCGACACATCGAGTGGCTGCCACCCACACGACCCAACCAAGGCCGGGGACAAACTGCGACTGAGGTACATGCCCTTAGCGGGAACCGAACCCCAGCCTCTCTGGACCACAGGCTGCCGCTCTAACCGCTGGGCCAGACCGGCCAGCGATCCCTTCAAATACTATTAAGAGACCCAATCAAATCAGGTGGCCCAAACCAGATCCTGCTCTCATTACCTGGATGTAAATAAGTAATGCCAGAACTGTGGCCTGTTTCGTGAACATCAACACATTTGGTTGGGGAGTGGGAATTTCTGCTCGTGGTCCTGGGATCCCCAGCTTGGCCCAGTTCTTGGTGAAGATGGAACAAGATTCCTTACGAGAGGGCAGTGGTGGGGAGGGATGAAGGAGAGGAAAGGGGGAAGTTGGGAGACGGGGAGATGGTTCATTAACCAGGTACTAAGATGTCTAGGTTCCTGCCTCGCCTGTGCCGGTAACTCGCTGTTTCTCGGCCTCTCCTAAGCATCAACGTCCTCAATCTGAAAAACGAGGCAGATGGTTTAGATGAGCAATTATATCTCGTCCACATGTGATTCTAAATCATTCCAGATGCCTAATCCAGGGGGCCCAGAGCGGTTAACCAAGTGGCTCAGCTGGGGCCACGCCCAGGTGGCCCGACCCTCTGGGCTCTCTCGGCCTTTAGCCCCACCCGCCCGCCTAGCCCCGCGCGCCCGCCCCGGAGAGCGCGGGGACGCGCCGCGCGCGCCCGCGGCCACGTGACCCTGACCGCGAGGCCGCGCCGCAGCCGCCATGGCGGCGGGGCCCCGAGGTCCCGAGCCGGGGCCTGCACCCGGCGCCCGCTTCTTCTGCACCGCAGGCCGCGGCTTGGAGCCCTTCCTGATGCGGGAGGTGCGGGAGCGGCTGCAGGCCGCGCAGGTGAGTGGCCTCGCGGAGGGATGGAGGGAGGCCCCGCCTCGGCACCTCTCCCGCCGGGTCGTCCCAGCCCCGGAGTCCTGGCAGGGCCGCCGTCCGTGCCCCTGCACACGTAGTACCGCGCATGGGCACGGACGAAGTGTTTTAAAAAGGGCGCCGAAGGGAGTTACTTCCCGGATCTCTCAGAGAAAGTGTGTGATGGTGCCTGTCGTCAGCCGGGACCCTCCTCCACCGTCCAGACGCGAGGTCCTCCGCGGCCCGCCCGCTCCGCCCCTGCAGTGCCCTGCGGGGCCGGGACCTACGCCGTGCTCCGCGGTGACAGCCCTGCGGGTGTGTGAGGCCCGCCTCGGACCCCCAGGACGCAGCCGCCGGAGGAACAGCCCTCCTGGAGGCCGGGGTCCAACTCCCGACGAAGTTCGCTCCCGCGGCGTGGGAGGGGACGTCGGCGACCCGAGCGAGGTCGGCGCGCTTGGCTTCCTTTGGCCAGGCGGCCGCTCGCGAAAGCGGAGGGAAGGGTGTGACCGCAGGGCCCAGGGTCCGGACGGGTCCTGGACGGGTCCTGGACGGTCCTGGACGGGTCCTGGACGGGTCCTGGACGTCCTGGACGGGAGGGCGCGCTGTGGGTGCAGGCGGACGCCTGCTCGAGGGCGGCCCACCCAGCTGCTGCTCTCGCCGGGAGCCCACGAAAGTCGCTTCTGCAGTGCGGGGTGCGTGGGAGGAGGGCGTGAAGATGGCCTGGGTCTCAGTAGGCTACCTGCCCCTGTGGTGTTGGTCACAGACTTAGTGTTGATCGAAAAGACAACACGCCCTGGCCGGTTTGGCTCAGCATTTGGAGCACCAGCCTGGGGACCAGGTCCGGGGTTCGATTCCCGCTAGGGCCACGTACCAAATAAATAAATAAATACAAAATAATAACAACCGGTGGCATTAGCCATTTAGTATATGTCAGGTATATATTCTTAAGTACTTAAATAAATAAATAAATAATAACAACAACCGGTGGCATTAGCTATTTAGTATATGTCAGGTATATATTCTTAAGTGCTTACAATGTTTTCACTTGCTTACTTTTCACAACCACCCCAAGAGGTTGACTTCACATTTAACAGAAAAGAAAGCATAGGTAACTCCTATACCTTTTTTAAGTCATGTAGCAGAAGATGGCAGAGCTGGGATTCAAGCCCAAGCTGTCCGGCAGGCCGACTCCGGGGTCTGTCCAGATCTTGACGGCTGCGTGGCCATGGCATAATGCTGCATTCATTTTTTAAATAATGTTAACTTCGAGTTCTTGATATGAAAAATAGAAGGCTTGACCCAATCTAGGCATGTCAGAGTATTAGAAAAAAAGACTCTCTCTGCTTGTTCTCCATCTTCTTTACACACAATATGAGGTTGGGAAGCGGGAGTCATAGTTGAATCATGGCAACAAAATTGAATCAATTATAGGGGGAAACCTTTGGCAGTGTCAAGAATTAATTGCCAAGAGACTTGGGAATTCCCTTATTTTGATATTGTGTGTTTTAAGGATAGATGTGCCTGGAAATGGGATCTGAGCAAATAGCCTCTGAAATCCCATCCCAGTTTCTCTAATATAAAGTAAATTCTCAAAGTTAAGGCAATCCTGAAATAATAATGTTAGCCTCTAACATTTATGAGGCACTTAAAATGTGTCAGACACTTTATGTACATGTTTTGATTTAGTCCTTGAAAGAACCTTATGTGATAGGTCATTTTTACCTCTGTTTATAAAGAAATAAAGAGAAAATGGATGCTGAATGGTGGAACTGGTACTTGCATCTGAATCTGTCTAGCTTCCAAGCCCATGTGCTTTACCACTGTACTTACCCTGGGAAACTGCCCTGGAACACTACATGTAGGTTATTTCCGTAACAGCATGGTAAAATGTATTTGGGCCCTGGCCGATTTGGCTCAGCGGTTAGAGCGTCGGCCTGCGGTCTGGAGAGACCCGGGTTCGGTTCCCGCTAAGGGCACGTACCTCGGTTGCAGTTTGTCCCCGGCCCTGGTTGGTCGTGCGGGTGGCAGCCACTCGATGTGTCCCTTCACATCGATGTTTCTCTCCTCTCTCTCTGTTCCTCTCTCTCCCTCCCACTCTACCTGAACAAAAAATGGAAAAATGTCCTCGGGTGAGGATAAAAAAAAAAAAAAAAAAATTAAAATGTATTTGGGCTTAGAGCCAAAAAACTTATTCAAATCTTGTATCTTTCTTGTAAATTACTCAAATTTCTGAGCCTCACTTTCCATGGGTATAAAATAAAGATGATAACACCTACTTTAAAAGATTACTGATTCCTTGAGACCAAGATCTGTAGCACATGTAGCATGATTTATGGCAAATAATAGGGGCTCAATAAATGTTTCCGTAGAATGGCTCACACAGAAATACTTAAAATCATTCTTGCAATGACAAGAGAGACAGAAACTTTGGTTTTCTTCAAGAAAAATACAAAACAAATCAATTCAGAAGTGATTGTTTAATTTTAAAAAGTAATCACTCTGTTCTGATCAGTGTTTTCCCAATTTTAGTGAACCTAAGAACCCCCTAGGGAGCTTGCTGAAAATGCATATCCCTAGTTGCCAGCCCCACAAGGTAAGCCCGGGGTGTTCGCATTTTAACTTGCACACTCCTCTCAGGTGACTCTGATATAGGTGCTTTTCTGATATACAACTTGCAATGAAAAATGTCCTGTATTCTGTTTAGCTTTTTGTCATGGAGAATTTCAAACATACACAAAGGTAGACAGAACAGTATGATGAGTCTTACTCATCAACAGCTGCAACGATTGACCCATGGTGAATTCTGCTCCATTCACACTTCTTCCACGCCTCACTCTTATGTTATTTTAAAGCAAATCCCAGACTTCATTTCATCTGTAAATATTTGTCTATGTATCTAAAATATAGGCCACAACCCTGACCAGTGTGGCTCAGTTGTTTGGAGCATCATCCAGTGCACCAAAGGGTGGCGGGTTCAGTTCTCAGTCAGGGCACATGCCCAGGTTTCAGGTTCCATCCCGGGTTGGGGCACACGCAGAAGGCAACCGATCAGTGTTTCATGCCAATGTCTGTCTGTCTGTCTCTCTCTCCCCCCCCCTTCTCCCTCTCCCTCTCTTCCTCTCTCCCCCTCTTCCTTCCTCTCTCTGATCAATTATAATATATATGCCACATCTAAAAATCAGTAATTCCTTGTCATCAAATATCTAGTCACTAAATTTCAGCTTGTCTCATAAATGTCACTTTTGTTTTAAAGTTTGTATATTTAAATCAGGATTCAGCCAGGCCAGTGTGGCTCAGTGAATTGACTGAGAGGTACGGTCAGGGCACGTTCAGGGTTGCGGGCTCTATGGGGCGTGCAGGAGGCAGCCGATAGATGTTTCTCTCTCACATCTATATTTCTGTCTCTCCCTCTCTCTCTAAAAAAGACAGTAACAACATATTAAAATAATAATAATATGAAATCAGGATTCACATAAGGTCCACACATTGTGTCTGACTGATAGTCTTCTAAGTCTCTTTTAATCTATACATTTCCCCTCCATCTCTCTCTTTTCCCATGGCAATTTGTTGGTTAAAGAAGTTGGGTTGTCCCACAGTCTAGAGCAGGAAGGTCAGCAAACTTTCTGTAAAGGGCCAGAAAATAAATATTTTAGGTTTTATGAATCAAAATGTTTTTTTAAGACTTTGTGGATAACTATGGTTTCTGTTATATTTTATTATTGATTGTATAATGCAAGCAATAATAAAATATAAAAACCATCTTTAAAAATGTAAAAACCATTCTTAGTTCACCAGGTCTAGTTTTCTGACCCCTGGCCTAAAGCTGTATGTCCATTAGGGTTATCACTAACCACAATGGCTATTTAAATGTTAATTAGTTAAAACTAGAGCCCAGTGCCCGGCTAGGTCAGCCAGTAGAGCATGAGACTCTTAAAACTAGAGCCTTGGCCGGTTTGGCTCAGCAGTTAGAGCGTCAGCCCACAAACCAAAGCGTTGTGGGTTCCATTCCAGTCAAGGGCACATACCTTGATTGCAGTTTGTCTCCGACCCTGGTCAGCGTCATGCAGGAGACAGCCAATCAATGTGTCTCTCTCATGTCATGTTTCTCTTTCTCTCTCTTCCTCCCACTCTATAAATAGAAAAATAAAATATCCTCAGGCGAGGATTAGAAAAAATTATTGAAACTAGATAAAATTTAAAAATTCTCTTTCTCAGGTGCACTAGTCCACATTTCAGAAGCCATATGTACTAGCACAGGTTATAGAACATTTTCATCAGCACAGAAAGTTGTTGGACAGCACTGCTGGAATTTCCCCCATCTGGATATTGCCAATTACATCTACACCGTGTAGTTTAACTTGCTCCTCTGTGCTCTGTATTTCCTGTAAATTGGAATCCTGTCAGCTGTATCTGGAGCTTGGTCAGATTTGGGTTTTGTTTTTTATCTCCTGGTGGTAGGGCAAACTTCTGTTTGGGCTCCTGGGTATTTTTAAATATTTATAACATATAAATATATGTATTCTATATGTAATATATTTATATAATGTCTGTATTTTATATATATATAGACACAGTATATTTTTTACTCTATAAGAAATATATTGGGAACAATTAAGCTTTACATATTTTTATTATAAAAATAATAGTAGGAACAGTAATTTTTATATAAATGTTAATATAAAATTCAATAAAGTGGAGGTGTTTTGAATGCCAGCTAGCCAGAAAGTCCCTGTCACGTGATTCATCCATCTTTATAAACCCACACAGCAAAGGCTATTAACCCAAGTGAATAAGCCAATCGATTTTTTAATGGGGTCATGATAGTAGAAGGTAGTGGGGTAGAACTAACCAGATAGTCTACTTATTTCATTTAATGGAATGCTTGCATAAGGTTGCTTTTTTGAAGATTCAAGGCATTCCTTTTAGATTGGATGACTTTTAAACATAAAGTGAAATATATTTTTTAATTCTCTCTTCTAAAATGAACCAAAAAAGCTCACACATCACCTTAAGTCTTCACTTAGCACTTTGAAATTAATTCTGAAACTAACTGTAGAATTAGGAAAACTTTGGTATCTCCCTATATTACTATATATTTTGCCTATACTTAAACATTTTTTTAATTGAGAGAGAACCAGAAACATCGATTTGTTTTTCCACTTATTTATGTATTCATTGGTTGCCTCCTGTACGTTTGTGCAATGACAGGGGATTGAACCCAAAACCGTGGTGTATCAGAACGAAGCTCTAACCAATTGAGCTACCTGGCCAGGACCTATACATAAACTTTTAATCTTTGTGTTAGACTTGAATCCATAAATTTTAAGAGAAAGGCTAAAATGCTAGCTGCTTAATTAGATATGCTAGCTGATAACAGAGCGGTTTTCACTTTAATAAAGCCTGTTACTTCATTTTCCGAGGTGTCAGACATAAAACCAGCTGCTCTGAGACACATGGTTATGATTTAATTCCAAATGGGGTAAACAGATTGTATATATAAATAAATTTTCAAGTGACAAATATTAGGGTGAAATATCCTAAAATGCTACATTCCTCCCTAAGTTATTGAATATCACCAGTTACAAGCAATAAACCAAGGGAAAAGGGTAACACTAGCTTCAGTCGTATTTAAAATCAGAAGACCCAAAATTCATTCTCCCTACTGCTTCAAGCTGTAATACCTTATCTTCATAAAGGATAAACAATTAAAGTGCTTTCATATGTATAATTATTTCATTTTCACAGTGACTAGTTTACAATTTAGTAAACTACTTCTAATTATATGCTTATTATAAAAGAAATGTAGACCTTATATGTTAACTTTTAAATAAAGAGAATAATGTTGATTTTGATTTTGAGAATATATTTAGCATGTTAAATCATCAACACATATTGTTCTTATGATTTGACACCCTAAACAAATTTAGCCTTATAGGTCCTCTTAATTAACTTGATATGCAGTCATGTTCTTTTTTTTTTTTTTCATCCTCACCCGAGGACATTTCTCCATTTTTTAGTAAGATAGAGCAGGAAGGAGAGAGAGGAAGAGAGAGAAACATCGATGTGAAAGGGACACATCGAGTGGCCGCTACCCACACGACCCAACCAGGGCCGGGGACAAACTGCAGCCAAGGTACATGCCCTTAGCGGGAACCGAAGCCGGGTCTCTGTGGACCGCAGGCTGATGCTCTTACCGCTGAGCCAAACCGGCCAGGGCTGCAGTCATGTTCTTTTTGAAAATCTTTCCTCTTTCCCCCCCTAAAAAGTACCTTTAGAAAAACTAATTGTAATGTTTTCCTTGATATTCAAATAAATAAACAAATAAAAAGGTAAGATCTTGTACAATTAAGTAACTATTAATATCTAGATCACTAGTTACTTAGGTTAAAATAACTGATCTAGATGGTGTAGGGATTTATTTGTTTATAGGACTTGAACCTTAAAACTTTACATTTTCAGTGGAATATTTATTGCAGTTCCCCCATAATCTTGTCAAGGTATTTTATGTCCATTAGTTGTTTTGTGGTGGCTTTAATATGAGCTGCATTTTTATGTCAGGGAACATAAAATCTAAAAATTTTTAAACTTTTTAAAACTTTTCTTCTAAGTGCTAAGCATTTTGAGCTATATATTTGGTTTGGAATTTAGTGGAAAATGTCACCTTTGTAATGAGGAAGTAAATTCTAGAAACTAGAAGTTCTTGTTTTACCTGCTTCATTATCCCCTTAAATATTGATTCCTAAACATTCTTATTATTTCATCTATCTTGGTCAGCTGCATTGTTGGTATCTAAGCTACTGGACTTTATTTATTTTTCAAGCTTCATTGAGCTATAATTGACATAACATTGTGTAAGTTTAGGGTATACAATGTGTTGATTGATAAATTTATATATTGCAAAATTATTACTACCATTGCATTAGTTAACACTTCCATCCATCACATAACCATTTATTTTTTTGGTGAGAACAATTTAAGACCTACTCTTTTAGCAACTTTCAAGTATATGATACAGTATTATTAGCTATAATCACCACGCTATCCATTATATCCCCAGAACTTGTTAAACTTATAAACAAAATTTTTTGGCTTTTAATTGGTGTCAACCTAGGGCTTCCTCAGCATAGATTCTTCTTCATCACTTAGAATGGTAACCCCAGAAGTTAACCATCCCAAAAGCTTAACTAGACCATGTCAGATCAAAAAAAACAAAAATACTTGTAGTTCAAGCTCCCATTGAATGGGAGCTACCTAAATACGTGAAATACCCCAAATTCCCTGGTGCTTCAGTTCTAGGAGATGAGTTCGAACGATGTTAGTCAGCCCATGGCCACTGCTGAAAGGAGAATTTCAGGACAGTCCACATCTATCCTGAATTTAAGGGAGTTGGTTGACTCAAAAAGGTTTAGGATTCCACTGGTATTGAGCACTCTGTGCCATACCTCATTAGATGCCTCCTGAGTCGGAGCCCTTTTCATTTTCCTTCTTCCCTGACTTTTACCACTTATCTGCCCTATCTCCAAAGCCTGTTTCTGTTTGATGCATATTTCTCGCTTCTATCCATTTTTCAGTCCCCACAGCCAAGTGTCTCATTATTTCTACCTCAATAATCGACTTCTCCCTCCAGCATCACGTTCTATACTCAGTCCTTTATGCCTCTTCCAAAGTAATTTTTTTCTAGCAACTAATTTGGTGCTGTCAGTTTTCATCAAAAGTCTATAATGGTTGACCATTACCATCTGTGGTACTCCATTTCATGACCATCTATCACGCTGGGCCGAGCTATACGCCATCCATCTACCTGACACTCTCAATCAGCATAAGGCAGGAAAGGGTGCCGGGCTAACTTACTTCGCTTCAGCCAGGCTGGCACTCCCGCCTCTGCATCTTGCCTTCTGTTCTTTCCTCGGAATCTCGCTTCCCAAATCTTGTAGGATTCTTCTCCGGTACTTTAACTAATGATGGCCTCCATATTCAGCATCATTTACCAAACCTACAGCTCATCAATAAGTTTATTGTATTAAAACATTTTTGTTTTCTTTTCTGGGTTTAATTTGAGTTGTTGTCTTATAAGTTTTGCATTTTAATTTGTACGTCAGAGCATGTCTATTACATCGTTATTCATCTTTAGGATATTTATTTCTGGTAGACCACATGGTAGGTGTTTATTAAATATCCACTGATATGTTAACTTTGGGCTAGACACCTTGTTTGTCCTATCCATTATACCTTCTCTTTGCCTACTTTTAAACAGTGTATGAAATTTGGCAATATAATTACCAAGTATTTTGTGTTCTGTTTTTCTGGTGGTATGTGTACTCACGTGTACATACGCACACTTTACAAACGATAGCATAACATAATAAGGTTATGGTCTTGATCACTGACTACATGACTCTGTACAAATGTTTTAACCTGCCTAAATCTCAGTTTCCTAATCTCAAATGATGATGATAAAGTCTGCCTTAGAGAGTTGTTATAAGGATGAAGGAAAAAAATGTACTCAGGCCCTGGCCAGTTTGGCTCAGTGGCAGAGTGTTGGCTGGCAGACCAATGTCGTGGGTTCAATTCCGGCCAAGGGCACATGCCTGCATTGCGGTCCTCCCCATCCCTGGTCGGGGTCATGAGGGAGGCAACCAGTCAATGTGTCTCACGTCGATATTTCTCTCTCTCTCTCTCCCCCTCCCACTCCTATCTGAAGATAAATAGAAAAATATCCTCAGGTGAGGATTAAAAAAAATTTTTTTTAAATGTATTCAGAATGCCTAGCACAGTGTCTGACAACCACTAGATACTTCAGAAATGGTCATTTTTATTGTTAATCTAGATGCTATGTTTTAATCTATTAAGGGAGAAAAGGGAGATGGTTCTTTCTCTACACTAGACTAAATTAATATCTATTTTTTATATCTCTAGGTTGAATATGTTTCAGGAAAAGTTTTTTTCACCACCTGTTCTGACTTGAATATGCAGAAAACATTAAAATCCACAGAAAGGGTATTTTTGCTGATCAAAAAGCAGTTTCTGTTTAATGTTTCTTCTGTAAGTAAAGGTATGGTGTATACCTGTTGTTTTTCCCACACAATATATGTACGCCAGAGTTTTCTGCTTGATAGTTAATAAGTAGCCATTTGACATTTTTAAAATTCATTCCTACCTATAGGATCATTAGTTATGTATTTTTTCTGTATTTCCTGAATATTTTCACCTTGTTGTATTATCACCTAATTGTGTCTTTTCTCTTTACAATCTGCTGCCTATTTTACTGAGATTTTAGTGTTCTAAGTCACATTTCATCTTTGAGAATTCTGATCAGACACCTTCACTATAGTAATGTATGGTCAGTTACATTTATTTAAATTTAGGACATATAATAACCCATTTATAAAGCATTAGAGTTCAAGGGGCTTAAGAGATTTTTTGTTTTTATAAATATGCAGCTAAAATAATTTAAGGATCTTGATAAAAGCAACAAAACGGGGCCAGACACTTCTGGATTAAACATTGCCTTAAACTTCATTGTGAGTGCTAATTATACACAAGAGATCGTGTAAGCATATAGTCTATAATAAGTTGTATCAAGAAAGATACAAATGGCAAGAAATCAAGACAGGGCAGAAAAATTCTTTTAAAAGAAATACTGTGGGGTCAATATAGTTTCATTCCAGTATTCCACACACTCTCATTATTAAAGAAATACAGTAATTTCTATTGGGTCATCTTGGTGACCCTTGTTCATCAAGAAAAGATTACATTGTGTTGAGTATGCTGGCAGTCCCTAAGTTATGAATGGGTTGTGTACCTGAAGTGTACTTTAGGGAAGCTCCTTTTATGATATGTGTTAATAGTATATGGTCTAAAATAGTCTCAAATTTCAGTTGCTCTATTTTTGACCTCTGTGTTATATAATTTATTCCTTTTCTTTTTATCTTTTTACTTAATTTTATAGGCAAGATCTGCATTATTTCAAAGATTGATACACACTCTAGGTCTTGAAGAGGTCCATATATTATCATAGGACAAATGATCTTGCTAAAGTATATGATAATTCTAAAGGAATTTTAAAACAGTTTGATGTTTAGCATGGAATATAATAACGAACCTTATTATTCTGCACAATATTCTTATATTAAATGATATAAATTCCAGACAAAAGGGGAGTCATTATTCATGTAGTAATTTAAAACTTATTTTATAAGAATAAAGATAATGCATTTTTGGGGTGATGAGTACAATTGGCTGTCTTTAAATTTTCGATGTAGGATAAACTGAGATTTTATTTATTTAGGAAAAATATTTAATGAAATGCAAAGACTTATAAACGATGATCCTGAAAGTTGGTTGAATGCCATTTCAATTTGGAAAAATCTTCTTGAACTTGATGCAAAAAAGGAAGAACTTTCTCAAAGAGATGCTAATCTACTAAAAAGAAGAATGAGAGAAAATGACACCGTTATTGCTAAGAAATTAAAAGCAGAACAAATACAAGAGACACAAGAGACTAGGGAATGCCAGCCAGAGAAACAAATAGAAGAGGAAACCCTGGAGCAAGGAGATTTTCTCACTGAAAGAGAAACATTTCAAGAACTTGAGAATGATGTAGCGAAAGCAATTGATGCTCATAACCACAAGGACTTGACTTTCCGAGTTTCTTGTCGCTGCAGCGGAGCTATGGCAAAGACCCTTTCCGCACAGGTACACTCACCTCCAAAGTGGGTTCCCATTTTCTAGAAGAATTAACTACTCTTTCAATTTAAAGTGAGATCAAACCTTGCACAGAATAGATGACTTGGCTCAGGCAGATAACTAGGCCTAATACCATATAATTTAATCTCTTTAAAAATACATTTTCCACTTAACTTTACCTCGGATGCTTAATAGGGATAGTATGCCAGGTACTGACGTCTTTTTACTTTCTCCCCGAAAGTTTTCTTAGACTCACAGGTATCTTTTGCATTTGGAAATCCTGATATGGTCCTGACTTTTGGGATTTCTCTTCAGTTCAGTTCAGTGTTTATAGAGTGATGACTGCACCAGGCCCTATATGTGTGATTGTCACTAGAACCTAGACATAAATACACATGAGTAGATGTTAATGCCACAGAATGTGTTGGGGTGTGATGGGGGATTGAAAGAGGTAAAATGCAGCCTTTTTGCCTTGAATAGAAAATGCTGCAGTATAATATTTTAATATTATATTACCATCAAATAATCTGACTCAATTTTCCAACTGACTCTCTTAGTTTTTACTTATATTTAAAGTTAAATTTTTCATTTATAATATTCTTTTCTATAACTTGCTGCTTTTCCAGGAAGTAGGAAGAATAATTGGAATTGCTCTTATGAAACAGTTTGGCTGGAAAGCAGATTTGAGGAGTCCGAATTTAGAGGTAATGAATATTTAGTTTATTTTACATGCTTACAACCTAGTTCTTTAAAGACATTGTCAACTAATCTATTGTACTTTTCAGTTTTGCTTTAGAGTTTCAAAAAGTACGTCGACATGGACCCAGCAGTCTGTTTTCTTTAGCAGTAGAATGATGCAGATAATTCTGCTAGCAGTTTTCACTGTGAAAATGTATGGAATCGTCTTGTCACAGTTGAACTAAAAAACATCTATTATAAGGTTGCAGAGATGCTCTTTGCGATCACTGTGATACATAACAAGTCTCTATAATAAGAAAGTGTAGGTAATGGTGAAAAAAAAAAGAAAACAAAAAGGGCTGCACAAAATTCAATAATATGTTAATAGTGGCTTTTTTAGGGTTGTGGGGTTATATTTTTTCTTTTTCTCTATTTTTTGAAATTAATTTAATGAAGTTACACTGTTTTCAGTTAGAACAAAATAAAACCTATGGGGAAATAAATACTAGCCATAAAAAAATATTCTTCACTGCCCTGGCCAGTTTTTGCTCAGTGATTAGAGCAGCGGCCTGCAGATCAATGAGTCGCGGGTTCGATTTTAGCCAAGGACATGTACCTCGTTTGCGGTTTGTCCGCGGCCCTGGTCAGGATCGTACGGGAGGCAGCTAGTCAATGTGTCCCTCTCACATGCATGTTTCTCCCTCTCTCCCTTTCTCTCCCTCCCACTCTATCTGAAGATAAATAGAAAAATATCCTCGGGTGAGGATTAAAAATAAATTTTTTTTTTAAATATATTTTTCACTGTTTTTGAGAATCATCTCATAAATTTGACAGGTAGTATAGTCATTTTCATTTGTAAATTTATTGTTATATAGCTTTATGAATGACGTAATTGCTAGCCAAATCAGAACATTTTGTATATTGTCTTTTTAAAAATTTTGATATGATTTTTTTACTTTTAAAAGTAATGCCTGATGTATATCTTTTGTTCTTGTCATGTGAAATACTTTGCCCCCCAAAATGTTTTGGCGTAAGGGTGTCTTATCTCCCCCTTCTGCTCTCTGGCTTCCTCCTCTTCATCTCCCTTTGATTATCTCCCTGTCTCAGAATTACATTTTTCCAGAGTTTAGCTCATAAATAAATATAGCTAATTTAATTCCTATCAACCATTTAATGCAATTAAGGTTAACTGCTATTGGTAGAAATAATCAACACAGAACAAAATGGGCAACACTAAAATCAAACAGTAAATTTTGTGACCAAAATTGACAGAAGAATCAAATCTTAACAAATTTTCTTCTGCAAAATTAATAGAAAAAATTTCATAGAGTGAGAAGCTATTCTTAATAACATTTGATATAAAAAATATCAGTACAGTATATCTTTAGTATAAATTATAAATAGAAAATAATTAATCCCAATAAATAATTTTGCTAAAATTGAATAATATAAAACATTGGAAACTTTAGGTGTGGTGTTCAAGGAATTAAATTGACTAAAGAGAATTCATTCCAGATTGTTTTTTTCTTGATGAAACTTTATCAGTATTGGAATAATTCTGATTAAACGGCATATGTTTAAAATAACCCAGGGGTGAAAGTATCAGGGTTCAAATGCTTTTGAGGTCAAACAGCAGAATTAGAATATTCCATAAACTTCATCAGACTACAAAAGTAAGATTCTAACTTTTAAAATTTATTTGGGCTCTCGATTATAACTTGAGACATTTAAATCCTCTTTACGGCCTAACAGAAGAAAGGTAACGGAGAGAAAGAAGTTCACCTACAGACAGTAGAGAGAAAACGTTGCCCTTGCTACAGTATATTTGACCTGAAGAAAGTTTGCTATTACAGTAAAAGTATGTAGCCTGTGATAGTCCTGTGTGGCCTGAGAATTAGAATGGATTTAGGAAGTCATCTCTATCCCCAGATGCTGAACTATCTGTTTCAGTATAATAATTCAAAGAATCTTTGGGAAGAAAGTGGATCTTGAGTTCTTCATGACATGATTCTCCATATAGCTCATATGCCAAATTAACCTCAAAAGTTAAAATTTATTTTGCCTCTGCTCAACGAAAATAGTATAGAACATTTTTTCATATATGACAAATAAGGCCTTGGAATGTTTTATTAAAAATATAGGTTATGTAGGTTCAAAATAGTTTTTAAATGATCGATAATTTGGTAGTGCATTTCCCGTTTCATTCTAACTTATGCATTTATTCTTTCAGATCTTTATACATCTAAATGACATTTATTCTGTCATGGGAATTCCTGTGTTCAGGTAGATATTATATTCCAAGCTTCCCGTTTGTACATTAGGAGAGTTTGTAAAATTAAGAACTGTATGGTTTTTATTTATAGTATGAAACATTATACAGCAGAATGGGCTAAAGGCAAAGCAGTTGAGTTCTTTACTTTAGCCGGTCAAGTGTTTCCATGGAGCTTAGTGGATATGATTTGATCTGACCAGTTAGAGCTATGAAAGATTTTATCACAATAATCCTCTGATTACATGAGTCAGACTGAAAATTATATCTGATTATTTCTATTATTGAGTGAGTTTTACAGGCCCATATTTAAGCTAAAAATTTCAGTCTGTTGGCATCATGGAATTTTAATTAAAATCGAAAATAGAGCACAATTCTTAAAATGCACCTTGAACATGAACTGTGTACAGCTGTACCACACTGTACGCATGTATAAGAACCATGGACTTCAGTTCTACCTTCTCAACAGATTAACTGCAAGTTTGGGCAGAGTATCATATTTCTCCACTATAAAGTCAGGAAAATAATAGCACCAACTTTATTGCTTTGTGGTTGGGATTAAATGAGATGACCTACATGAAAATGCTTGGTACTATTTCTAGGACACAATAAGTGTTGAACAAATTTCAACTGCTTTATTTCTGAAACAGATCAGCAAGTATGGGGGGAAGGGAAAACATTTATTAGAGGAAGATTAATTCAATTAATTTCAGTTGAAATATCTAATAAGTACTTATTATATGCTAAACATTGTGCTAGATATCAACATTCAAAGATGAGGGAGATGGTTATTAAGTTCAAGGAATTCAGTTTAGTGGTAGGACAGATAGATGATAAATACTTGACTATAGTCAGAAAAGGGGGCCTAACGTGATGGAGGAGGGTAAGCAAAAGAGCATAGAGGAGAATCACTTAATGAATCACTTAAATGGAGAATGCAGGAGCATCACTTAAATGGAGAACACTAAGGAAAGGTTCCCCAAGTGGGCAAGAGAAGGAGAGGACCTTACAAGCAAGGGTTTGCATGTGCAGAGGCCTGGGGATATGAGAAAGCTTGATTTCTGTGAGGACAGCAAGTATTTCCAGTATACATGGGGCAAGGGACACACTGGAGAGGCAGAAAATGAGGCCGAGCAATCAGAAGCAGGCCATGAAGGGTCTGGTACGCGGTGCTGAACAACTTGCATTTTATTCTAAAAGCAGCGACATGAAGCAGCAGAGTGATGCGATGAGATTTGTGATTTTTCAACTATTGCCAAGGAAATTATATTTTTAAATGAAAGGGAAATAAAAAGAAAACAGAGGTTTAAACTCTTACAATAGTTCAGGCAATAAATGATGAAGAGCTGAACTGAGGCAAAACTAGGATAACTAAAAGGAGGCCATGAATTCTATACAAAGTTAAGGAACCTAGAATAATTGCCAGATGCCTGATTCGGACAACTAGTGGAGATACTCGCATCAGTCACTGAGATAGAAAATGTCGGAAAAGTAGTGCGTTTGGTGAAAAATGTCTGAGTCGATATTTAAAGTTATAGCTCAGGAGTTCCAGCGACAAGTCGAAGCTGGAGATGTAGATTAGGTTCCCCAATATATAGATGATAAGTGAAGAAATATATTGTGATATAAATACAGAGAAAGGATTGTGCTCAGTTTACATCTGTTGACTTTGCAGTACTCTAGGTAAAAAGTGTCCAAACACACATTTAAAAATAAAGATCTGGGATTCAGGTGACAAGGCTAGGCTAGAAATGTAGATAAAACTGTCTTCATCTTGGTAATAGATGGTATGTAAGAGAAGAAAGAAGAAATGTATCTATGTGGAGAAGAGCATGAAAACTACATTTATTTTTGTATTATGTAAAAGTCATCTAAAAATCTGATTAAACACATTAGCCAGATTATATGAAAGTAGAGAAGTGTTTTTATTTTCAAGAAGTTAATTTCTGAACACTTTCTTCTTAAAAAATGTATTCAGTTGATATAATGGGCCCTCTTGTTGAAATAACAGCTGATAATTTGTCCAAGTTTACAAAAAATAACAACACATTTACTTTGGTCACATGTTAATATGGTTGGCTCCGATAAAATAAAACCTCTTTTGGTAAAAATATACACGTAATTGTCAAAACTCTCAAAGGTTCTACATTAAACCCCTGATGCTTAGAAAGGCACTTAGCAGTTTATATGGACATAGACAGGTTTCCAAACCAAGTCTTTGTTGGTACCTAGAGTGAAAAATAATCTCTCAATTCTGATTTTAACGAATATGTTTTGTAGCAAGACAATTGCCAAGCCTAGCCTATAGTATCAAGATTTATTAATCAAAATATTTTCTAGTCATTCCACCTGCAAAGTTTACATCCCAGATTCTAAATCTATGGACATAGTACGGTCTACCATGTGAATTATTTTCTGAAAAACCTTTTAAAAAACAAACTTCCATGGGTTTACCATGCAGAGCTTCCTCATTGTAACAGTAAATATACAGTTATACTATTTTATTTGAAAGAGATAACCTCATGCAATTATAAGATTTTAAGAGGCTTACAATAAATACACACAAAACAGGGTGACTTACAGTCAAAGACAGATCAGAAACAAAATGATGAAAGACACAGTTTGGAGAACACTGTCGCTTTGTATAATGTTCAGAGAAGAGCCTGCTCTGGTTTTGGAATAAGCCTACTCCCAAAACAACCAAGCACTAGTTCTTGAAATCATACCTTCATATCTTACCAACAAATTATATAAATGAAATAGAAAAGTGCATTGAAATTTCTAAGGAAATGCTTGTTCATTGCATTAAACACATAGAAACAGTATTTTGAAATTTTCTATCAAATCTGGAAACACTTAGAGTAGCACTGATGAGGTGGAGGATGAAGGATGAAGTGGTACATAATGGAGACCAGAGAGCTCATTTGGGAATGTCTGCTTCATGCAGACACGGCAATGTCATGCTTCATTTCATCTTTTCAGAAAGATGCAAATGAGCAAAAAGCAAACTTACAAAAGGGACTTTTTATAGAAAACCTATTTCAAGAGTTAGTATCCATTCAGTCGTACTTCTCATGCTACATCTCTCACAAACAGCATGTTCTTCCTGATGACTCCAGGTCAGCAAAAGGTCTCTTCCGTATGGGAAAACAGGGAAGCATTTAAATACTTGAGCAAAATTTCCTTCATATGTGATTACAGTTTTACAGATTAAACACAAAAGGGTTTAAATTTCCCTTATGTAAAATGTTTACCTTTCTGAAGTACTACACCAACTGGTCGAACAAGATGCCAACTAGAGAAGGTATTTTTGTAGTAAGGTTGAATACTCTCAACTTAGGGAATATCTTAGCGTGTGTTGCGTGAACATGAAAAGATGATTCACAGATACAGCAGGTTAATCATTTTTATTTCTATCAGGTTCTTCAACTTACAGTAATAATGGATATAGCATCAGGTTCTTTTTTCTTTGTAGGGTTCCTTTAGCCAGCAGAGCTTACATCAAGACAGCAGGATTGAGGTCTACTGTAGCGTGGGCAATGGCCTCTGTTGCTGAAATTAAGGTAAGAAAACTGTTTTCATTCTTATCGATATAGTAGCAAAGTCCTTTCAGTAATTAACTTACAGTGTCTCTTACTTACGGACATCTTAGTTGCTTGCTTGCTTTTCTTTTCTCTTTCTCTTTCACCATTTTCTTTGGCTGGTTTTCTTGTTGCCATTACCCTTAGGAAGTTCTGCAGTGATATGTTTTTATATATTGTTGAACTTATGAGAGTAATTTGCCAATGAAAAAGCTGGCTCAAAAGATAGTCACATTTTATTCTCATTCTTTGTGTCACAATCACATGGCCTAAAAATTCTGTACTTCTTAAAATTTAAGTTTTTTTCTGTGACCAAGATCTTGATCAATTTATATAAATGTTTCACGGACATAAGAAAAAAAGGTTCATTTTGTAGTCAGTGTCTTTGCTATCTTTGCTTACTAATTTACTCTCTGCTTGATTTTGAAAGAAGTATTTGAAATCTCATTGATTTTTTTTAAATGTTTCCATTTTTTTGCCTTTTTTTATTCATTAATTTATTTTTGTTACAGATGTTTCTCCTTTTTCCCCCATTGACACCTTCCTCCCAACCCCCCCATTGTCGTCTCTGTCCATAAGTGTTTGCATTTTCGTTAGTTACTGCCTATGTAGTTCTGTGTATACACACCTCCTCTTCTGCTTCACGCATGTGCCTTTCTGTTGTTACCAGAGTTCTCTTTATCTCGAGTAGTGAGTTAAAACCTAAATTGCCCCATCTGTTATTAATATTTCTTTGACCCTTCCTTATTTTAAGTGCATTTTTGACACACAGCTGTTTGTATCCCACTCTGATGGTCCCAGGCATCGATGAGAGAATTCGGTATTATAGCACACACCTGATTGTATTTCTTTTATTTTATTCTGTTTATAACTTCTTGTAGTTTACGCTTTTATTTTTCCTGGTTTGACCAAGTTACTTCATAATCATTTCATTGTTCTCCCTGAGGTTGGAGATTCTACTTTATTGTTCTAGTCTATGAATGATTCCCTTTCCCAGCTCTCTAATTAAACACTAGGGCTCTGCTATTATTTTAAAACAAAGTATCTGCTCCTTCCTCTGTCAAGACAGTTTTACCACCAAGATATCCTAGTCTTCCCCTCTTCCCTGTTAGGAGATGAGACCTGTAGAGTACCGTTTTCTCTCCTTGTCCCGCCTTGACTCCTCCCTACAGTGAGATCTTTGAAACATTTCATCTGTCACTCCCAACCCCCAAGTACTAGATTGAACTAAATTAGTTATCATGTGTCAGATTTCTCTTAAAATATGTCCCTTCTGTTTCAAAAGTTCTTAGCACTACTATTCCACAGCCTGTCCTTAACCATCAAGATAGAATTGTGTATAACAAACACGTTTCTGTGCAAATACAAAGATATATTGCAGGGTATGTCACTCCTCACTGTGGGTCCTCCCATTGCCTTTCCCCATTCGAGGTCTCTGCTCTGGTTTATTTATTGCTTCAGCGAGGTCTTGTCTTAGGTGTTTTCCTCACACGTGGTGTTTGGATTTCTGTGTATCCCCAGACCTCGTCCTTTCATCCTGGGTGTGCCCACCCTGGCTTGGGTTGCGGTCCTTTCTCTCGGATGTCCTTAGGTGCTGGCCCGTTGTCCTGTAGCTGCTGGTGCAGCTGAGCCGTCGGTGCCAGCACAGTTTCTCTCCATTTACAGCTTCTTGTTCTTTCTGCTCAGAAGCTTGTGAGGCTTTTCTCTTTAGTCCTGTCAAGTTCAGGGATATTACCAGAATGTACTTCTGTAAGTGTCTTTTCTATCAGCCCAAAACTCAGTGATTCTGACTGCCTGGGTTTAATTCTGCCTCCATCACTTTCTGGCTGGGAAATTTTGGGCAAGATACTTAACATCTTCACGCCTCAGTTTCTCATTTGCACGATAAAAAGAATAATCTCATAAAGTCATGTAAGAATCAGTTGAATTAGCATTTATCAAGTGATTAGAACAGTGCCTGACATTAGAAAGTGTATAAATATTAGCTGCTGCTAGAGTAATAATTATAGTTATAATACTTATTTGGAATATCTAATGATTATAACAATTTTATTATTATTTCTCTAGCTCAGGCACTTTTTCTCATTAACTGCTTTGCATTAGTGACTTTAACCTTAAGCTACTTTTGTTTCTGCCTCGGGAATTTTCTCTCTCAGGGCATTCTGTTTCTTTCCATTAGGTCCCCTCTGGCTCTGACTGAAGCCTGGATGTCCGCTGAGCACTCTGCTTCCTCTGTAGACATACCGAGGGCCCCTGGCCTGGCAGCGGGGTAGGTGCCCTGCTTGCTCCTCGTCGTTCCTTCTGCCGAAAGCCTCTCAGTGCCTTTGAAGCAAATACCATCAGTTTATCACCGTCAAGTCTAGGTCTCTTCCTATCAGTCCTGTAGAGCAGGGGCCCTTATTCCTGCTGCAACTCTTCATGATCTCAGCATTCATTCCATAACCTGACCCCTCAAGGTCACAACCTAGACCTGGGCACACTCCAAGGGAATGCCTTCCAAAAATCTGTTTCATGAACCCTGCTCTTAACCACCTTCTCTTTGCTGGTCACATCCTCCAGCACCCTAACACCATTCATGAACCCCTTGGGACCGCCAGTCATTGGACCCTACCCCTGCCCATTGCTTACCACTGCCCATCACTCCCTCACAGCTTGGATTTTATGTTCTACCATGACAGCCATTTCCTTGCCCACACTTTTAACTCTCTTGATTCTTATTTGACTTAAATAGTGGAATCAGAAGAGAACTTGAACACGTTCTCTTCACCAAATCCACCAATGTGTCAGAATCTGCCTACACCGTTGCCTTTTCTCCACTCTGATAAGTGAACTTCCCTTGTTTCACTCTGTGACCTGACCTGTGGGCTGGACTTTAGTCCCTCTTCCCTATTGAAGGACTTGCTTTCTACTGGGTCTTCTCATCAGCCGTACACTGGCCGTAGTATCTCACAGCTTCCTCCAAACCTCCTCCTGACCCTCGTGCTCCTTCAGCCACCACCCCGTCCTCTGATTCCTTTTACAGAAAACTTACAACTAGCTGTCGTACTTGCTGTCACTCCTCCTCCTCCCACTCTCTCCTGCCCACTCCATCGGGCTTTCCCACCAGCACTCCACCGAACCCGCCCATCTCACACGCACCCGCCAGCACGCGGACACCGCCGGCACCCTCCCGGAAATGGTTTTCTGCACTTTGCTTTGGGAAGTCACTCTGAGCTCTCCTCCTCCGTGAGCATCAGCTCTCAGCATGCATTGCCGAGTCTTCATCTGCCAAGTGTCTGTACTTAGATAGCCGGGGTCCAACCCATAGACGTTCTTTTTTAACTTCTCTCAATTCCTGGATGACTCATCCAGTTCTGGTGCTTTATATACCATCCATACACTAACACTGACTGCTCCCAAATTTATAGCTACTCTGAACCTCTCCCCTGAACTCCAGACTCATAAGTCCAGGGATTCTCTTGGTCTCCATAGTTGGCCTAGGAGGTGTCTCAACATTAACATGCCCAGGATTGTGCTCTTGTCTCCTTTGAAGCTTTTCCTCCCCAAATCTGCCCATGTCAGGAACAGGCACCTCTGCTCTTCCAGATGCTCAGGTCAAAATCTTTGGTCATTTCAGACTGTTGTCATTCTTTATCATTCCACCTCCAGTCAAACCTGTTTGCTCCACCTTTAAAATATATCCAGAATCCAACCACTTCTCACCACTTCCACCAATACCACTCTTAATTAAGCTACCGTCATCTCCTGGATCCCATAACCAGCCTCCCTGTTAACACCCTTCCCTTCAGTTCTATTCTCAACAGATCATCTACAATGATCCCTTTGAAATGTAATGTTTTGTTACTTCTCTGCTCAGAACCCTCCGTCCTTCAGAATAGAACCAGAATCCTTACAGTATCTACCAGAGCTGACCAGGGTGGGAGTGATTAGTATTTGTTCCCCAAATGTCTTATTCTCTTCCCAGGTGCAGATAGAATTACACTTTCTCAGCCCCTTGACATTGGGTGTGTCATGTGACTGACATGCTTAGCCAGTTAAATGTTTGGTAGACATGATGTGTGTCACTTATAGATGGCACCTTTAACACCCAGTGCATAATTTGTCATCCTGATTTTCCCTCTGCACAGTGATGGCAGTGCTCCAGATGTTGACCACTTGATCAATTTGACTTCCAGAGTAAGAAGCAGAAGCCCCGGTGCCCTACTGTGGGCATGTACCATGAGGTTACATGGTGTTTTAAACCTCTAAGGTTTGAGATTGTCCCTACAGGCAGCATAAGCCAGCCCATCTTGATGGAATCGCCTGCCTCCCTCTGATGTGATCGCCACATTTCCCCTGCTCCCTGATCCTTAAACATGCCAAGCGAGTGCTTGCCTACCTGAAATTCCTAAAGTGTAAAAGGGACCTTTACTCCTAAAGTATCGATTCCTCAGGTTTTAGGTTTCTTTTATAATACCTATTATAAGAGAGTTAATAGCACCAAATCAATATTTCTGTCTGTAGGCTGGTGCATTTGTTTTAGATCCAATGTGTGGACTCGGAACAATACTTTTAGAAGCTGCTAAAGAATGGCCGGTGAGTTCTAAACTTTGGTAAACTAAGAAATATATTTACTTTAATTGGTATATGTATGTTCATTTAACAATTATTTAGAATTGATTGTCTTTTGGGGATTATTATTATAATTGTATCAGTCACTATTTACTATTCTCAAAAGGCTTACAAAGGGTTAAATGGCTATGTCATTTTTTTAATGGTATGATAAATTTAGCAAGATATGAGTAATGCCAATTAGTCATGACAGACTATGCTAATCCCCAAATTCTTTAGGCACTTGTAACTGTAAAATATTAATAGATTTTTAAATTTCAACAAAAATGTTTGCTATTGAATATCATTTTAAAGAAATACTATACATTTGTTTCAACCTGAATGAAAAATTCATTGATTTCATTTTTATCATTTGTGAAAATAGCAGTAGGTTTTCTGAACTACAGAAAATATCTGATAATTGTATTTATACTTAAAATATGAGTGTCTTTCCTCGTAGGATGTGTACTATGTGGGTGCTGACGTCAGTGACTCACAGTTACGAGGTGCGTGTGACAATCTGAAAGCTGCAGGCCTCACGGGTAAAGTTGAGTTACTTAGAGTCTCTGTTATAGGTAAGACATTAAAAATGCAACATTTGGGGAAATGAACATATGTAAATATGTACCCCTCTGGATAAGCCCATTTTTCAGCCTTATACAGGCCATCACCATTTGTAGATGCAAAGGCAGGAGGGAGCCGTTTGAATGACAGCTGTCTAGGAGCTTTCAGTCTCGGGTAGAGGTGCAGTGAGCTCGAACATGAGAATCTCAAGGGCAGAGTTAACGGTGTCTACCCTACGGGAATACTGACTGGGTGAGTCGGAATCATGGCAGGTGGGGTATAGTTATGACAGGCAGTGATGGACTCCCCATCTTATGTGGCTGGGATGCTTTTGATGGCCTGGACATCTGTGCCAGGGATCACACTGGAGCACTGAGAAACTGCATCCCAGCCGGACCCACCGCCGTGTTGACCTTGGGTCTCAGTACCAGCTAGAAGAACAGGTCAGCATTAGATAATTTGGCCTTTACCCCAGGCTTTCTCATTCAAAGGCTGTCTCACCTTGAAAGCGACCTTTAACCTCTCTGAACTTTAGGGATAATAATAATAATACCTAACCAGCAGGGTGTTGTAAAGATGCAATTAGTCTCAAGTTCAATTCAGTTAGTCGCAATGCACAGTTCCCGAGGTCCTTAGGTGCCGCCAGGAAGACAGCTGGAGCAAGGGGGGGGGGTTGTTCAGGCGCCAGGCAGGTGGTTTCAGGGCGGTGTCAGGGGAGTGGGCCTTGCTTCAGAGCCCCACCTTGGGCACCATGGAATGTCAACCGAAGGTCATTGGCAGCAATCCAAATGCCAACAGGAATCCCCAATTAGGGGTGTGGTAAAGAAGTAAAGTTTAGTGCAGACAGCTCCAGGGTAAAACAGCATGGCTGGGGAACAGTTGGCTAGTGCTACAACACAGCCCCGTGGACACAGCAGGCTGTGAGGCCGCCTGGGCCCCTCGCTGGGCGGCTCTGCTCCTGGATGGTCTGTGCCCGCCCACTCCGCGCTCTGCTCCCACAGGTGTCCAGTGTTTCAGCGCCACACAGGGGAACGGCCTTTAATCTTCAGTGGAAAGTCTGCTCATTTCAAGTCTAAGTTTTCTTGTGTACAGAGGAATGAGTGGAAAGTATAATAAGTAGAAAGTGAAAAATACACTCAGAAAATATGCTTGTTAAGATTGGGTGGATAACCTTACGACGATCTAATTTCTGAGACAAAAATGTAAAGATGAGAGAGAAATTTAGATTTCATAGTCAAACACAATGTTTAATTTTACTTAATGGTAAAATTCGTCTTTTTGATTATTGATTGTTTTACCTCTTCTCCAGGCTTAGGGCTAGGTAGATGTGCTTAACATTTTGGGTCCTTTTAAAATTCAAGCTATGGATCATCTCCCTTAAAAATAAACAGATCTACACATGCAAAGTTTTATATACAACTATGAAAAAGGAAGTGAAAATTATGGAATATAATTTTGTAAAAGGTTTTTCTAGACAACTTAATGGATTTCTTCTTGGGTCTGGCAATTTTCTAGTCATGTAATATGTTTAGAGAATTGAAGTTTCTGGTTAATTTAAAATTCTGCTTAACTTATATTATACTTTATTATACCTGAAAAACCAGTATTTAAAAAACAGAATATAATTATTTTACCATTTATCATCAGTAATTCTGGAAGCCTTTTAGAAACTTGTGATTTTTTAGAAATAATGTTAGCAATCCTAAATTTTATTTAATATGCAAAAGTAATCCTGGGTACTTTGATTTTCTCATATTTAGGTTGTAAATACTTGAACATACTGCATAAGGTTCTCTGATTTCTGTATTTCAGAATTGCCACTGCCTTCAGGAAGTGTCGATGTTATTATTTCTGACATCCCTTTCGGGAAAAAGTTTACGTTGGGAAAAGACATCAGAAGCATTCTACGAGAAATGGAAAGGTAAGGTATTGAATTTATTTCCATAATTTTGAGCTATTGGACATTTAACCAAAATATAGCTCCCTTCAGTTAAGAGTTGATTGCATTTTAGTAATTTCCTAGAGTTTTTGTAGCTTAATTTTCTAAGGTTTTAAATCAGAAGCTTATAACTGAAATAAATAGTTATTCCATCTCATCTTACACATTTCATTCAGAAAAAAAAAAAGTTTATTTTTCATTATTGCCTGAAATCTGAGTCTCTGAAAATAGTGATCTACGCTTCAGTCACTGAGCTAGGTGATTTACATATTTACTTCTAGTCATCACAGAAACCCTGCGTCCTATGTGTTAATCCCCCAGACTTCAGAGATGGGGAACTGGTACCCAGAAGGATTAACTTCCTCGGGATCACAGAGTGAGGCTGCATCTGTACTTTCCTGATCATTTACTTTGATAGAGGAGAGAACTCAGAACACATAGAGGAATGAAAGGACGTGAGGAAGCGGTCGGTTCCTATTAAGTTGCCTCAGCTGAGCATTTGATAGAGCAGGACAACAGAGATGTTCAAGGGCCAGAACAGAAGCCGTGTCACCAACGGAAAAAGTGGACCATGTGGGCTTGGGTGGGAAAATCCAGCCATGAAGTCTCAGGTCAACTAAGAGTCATCTCTCCTCCCTACCAGCTGGTGCTCCTAACTTCTTTTTGGATTGTCTTATTTCTAAGCAAGCTGCCGCGTTATGCAGTTAACTAACTCTTGTTAGGTTACCCGAGATCTCTGTCTGGGCAGCACCTATAATTTAGACACTTCCTGAGCTCTTGTGCTTCCTTCTGCCTGATATGACTTTCTCCTCGAGCAGATATTGCAACCCTGGCTTCACAGTGAAATAATTTCAGGAGCTTTTGAAAAACATTGATACCCATTCTCTTTTTTATACTCCTCACCCGAGGATATTTTTCCATTTATCATTAAATGGAGTGGGAGGGAGGGGGAGAGAGAGACAGAGAAACATCGACGTGATGGAAACACATCAACCAGTTGCCTCCCACACAACCCGACCAGGGCCAGAGACAAACCACAACTGAGGTACATGCCCTTGACCAGATTGAACCCGCGAGTCATTGGTCCACGGGCCGACGCTCTAACCACTGAGCAAAACCGGCCAGGGCTTGATGCCCATTCTTCACCTCTCCCCACCGAGGCTCTGATTTAATTGTCAGTATTCTTTAACCTCACCCAACCTCTTCTGTCGTGCAGCCAGGGTTAATAACCAGAGCCTTTGCACCCAACTAGGTAATTCACCAGCTATACTCTTAAGGCAGCTCATGGTGAGATACTAATATGTGTGAGCAGTGACTTACATTTAATGTAGAACTTTCCAGAAATAATGGCTTAACCTAACCGACAATTGAACACTGTATTTTAGACATCTCCACGAATCAGTGCAGGGCAATATTTTGAGCAAACAGTTCTTTCTGTGCTAGTAAAACTATATGAGCCTGACTTTCTCTAGCTTGGTTTTGGTTCTTTGGATAACGGAAAATGAGACAGTAATTGATATGACTGCCCTCACATTGTGGCAGTCAATTTAAATATGTGTCTAAGAAGCAGGACGATTCATTGTTTCCAGATCCGGTCCCCCCTTCCCCGGACACTTTTGGGGGCACTGGGCTGTGGCTGCGAAGAGGTCGGAGCCCTGCCCGTGCGGGGCTCGCATTCCAGGGCGGGCAGACAGGTCAGCCGCCAGCAAACAGGGTCACTTCCCATCGCAACTGACGTACGAGGAAATCAAACGGCATTTTGCCAGAAAGAAGCAGGGGCTCCCTCAGATTGTCAGGCGAGGCCTCTCCGAGGAGCGGGTCGTTGAACTGGGCCTGAGCAGTGAGCAGGCGCACACAGGAATGAGTGTCAAGTGCAGGCCGAACAGCGAGGTCAGATGTTCTAAGACAAGACGCTCGTTGGTCTGAGCCACCGAAGGGAGGTCAGTGCGCAGACCGTGGCAAGAGAGGGCAGCGAGCAGTCGGTGGGAAAGGTGGGTGAGGGCCGGATCGCGGAGGAGTGTGGAATTTATTTGAAGTACAGTGGCAGAGAGTGAGCAGGGGTTTGTGCTCGATTTCTGTGTGGAAACGGGGCGGGGGGTGCCAGAGTGGGGGGACCAGGCAGGAGATCGGGGCAGTAGTGCAGCAGGAGCTGAGGATGGGGATGAAGCAGATGCGGTGTCCCTTAGGGACAGATTTGTGTAGATTGGCTGATTGTCCTGGTGAGGGAAAGCTCCTTCAGCTGCAGGCGTCTTTGCGGGGTATGGGGGATCCCCTTTAACTGTTGGTTCTCTGGCTGTCCCCTGGTTTCCTTTCCTACACACCGAACTGCTTGAGAGTAGTCTACACTTCACTTCTCTGCTCCTCGCCTCCCAGGCCCCCCGATTCCAGAGACCGGCAAGTACGAGTGCTGCCTCCAGGCTCACTGGTGACTTCTTACACTCCCAGTCACTTGTAGTCCTGTGGCACCTGACACTGTTGAAAGCATTCCCTGCTTGTACTCCTCTGGCTTGGATGGCATCACTTCTGTCTAGACTTCCCCTTAGGGTTGTATTTCATGGGCTCTTCCTCCTCTGTCCTTCCTTGTTAAGTCTCTGTCCCCGGGCCTCCTTCCTCTTCTCACTGTGTACTGTCACCCCAGATCATCGTGTCCACCACTGTGGCTTTAGCTACCATTTTCTGTTGAGAACCCCAAACCTCCAGGCTGTGTGTCCAGCTGTCTACTGGAATCCACACTGACATCCAAACAGTCCTTCCTCCCTCCTCCCGCCACCCTCGGACTCACCCGGTGCCCGACTTCTCTCGGAGCCTCTTCTCCCGGCTGATGCCTTCTGTGCCTCCAGCGCCCTCCCTGGCTCCAGGCCTGGGTAGCACTCGGCCTAGCTCACTCCTGCTGCCTCCTAACTCACAGGGCAGGTTTGCACCCGCCCACGGGCCGCTCCCCTGTTCAGTAGGTCAGTCATTACTGTTTCCACGTAAGTACTATGCCGGCTTAGGTCAAATGATGAAGCGAGTTCTCCTCGGCAATCTTTTTCTAATCCTTTGTTCGTGTCCTCATTCTTTCCTGGTGGCTTTCTTCTGCCATCAGCCAATGGCCTTGAATATACGCTGATTCTTTAGGATTTTTCCATTTGCCTTTCCTTTCTTACAGTCATTTATTAGAATATTATTATAAATTACTTTGAGGCTTGCCTTTTAACTAGAGTAAAAATAGATAATTAAAGCAGATTTGTACTAGTGAATCCATAATTACTATAATGAATATGCATTATGGAAGATACTGCCTAATTATCAAATCCTTGTATTTAAATAGATAAAATTAAATTTCAAATTAAAAACACCAAATATTTTAAATAAAGTGGGATTGTTTGTTATCTGAAAAGAAGGAATTGCTCACACCAGTGTTTTTCAGAGTGCTTCACGTGGGCGGGACCCTCGTGCTGTTGCTCAGCGAGGACCACCGCAGGCGCCTGGGGGCCCGTGAAGAGCACAGCGTCCCCCGGGATTCCAAAGGCAGCCACGCAGATGAGCCTGAAACGGAAAAGTGCGTGATTCCCAAAGAAAAAAATGGCACATCAGAGGCAGTGGCATCTTCACTGGAAGCCAATACCCAGGAATGCTTACACGAAATGCTACCCTTTGGCTCCTTGGTGCCCGTGGAATGCTACAAAGTTAGCCTCGGGAGGACAGATGCATTCATATGCAAATATAAGAAGGCGGACTCTTCTGGACTGTAGCTGGCCAGACACAGGTTCGTGTCAGCCTCCAGGAGAAGGGTGAGCTCCAGGGTCCTGATAGTGCCACAGAGTTCTGAGCAGACAGATTCCCCCAAGACAGGGGTGAATTTCTGCTTCGGGCTCTAAAAGGTTTAATGTTTCTGACAAAGAACAGTTAATAAATATGTAAACTAAAGCGCTCTGAAACGTTGGCTCTGTGGGAATAGGGCAAGTTGCACTCTGCCTGCAGCGTTTCTGAGCAGAAACCGCAACGTCACAACCAAAGCTTTCAGAGGTTCACAGCATGTCAAAATCATCACAAGGTTGCTAATGTTTTAACTGTCAGAATTTTTTGAATTTAGAAACCTTTATGTTAATTCTTTTGATATTGAACTTAATTTTTGAACCTGTAATATTTTTCTCCATTGGAATGAAAATTTTATGTACAATACATTTTACATATTATATGTCTCATGTAAAACATCAGTGGGAATAAGAACAATCTGAATTAAGCCAATATCCTCCAACATGGTAGAAAGTAAGAATTTGCTTTTTTTCTAAAAGCATTAATAAATTATTACCTCATTCTTTTATAAATTAAATGCATTCCTTGTGTTCACTACCTAAGAGGAAGAAGAAACAGGAAGTTGATGAAAATATGTTTTTTTCCCCCAATAAACTAATGTAGTAGTTTAGTTTCTCGGCTGCTTTAGTAGCACTGAACAACCTTCTCCAATTCGGGGGATTTCTCACCTTGTGAATCCCATCTCTCTAGAGCAGAGACAGGAAGCCTGTTTTCCAGTGCTGGTGAGGCGTGTAACCTAGGCCCAGTGTCAGGTCGGCTGGTCAGAGTCGGGCTACTGGGGCCCAGATGGTAAATGGAGTTTTTACCTGAGAGCACCTCACAGTAAGCTCAGTGGGACCTGAGCCTATCACGTATTCATACCAGTGTATAGCGCATACCTGCTGTCTGCCAAGGCTTTGTTCTAGGCCCTTGGATCACATCATTGAACCAGAAAAATACCCTGCCCTCATAGGACTTAAACCTTCCAGTGGGAGAAACAGAGAAGAAACAGTAGGCATTGTAGGCACTGCAGCTGATGAGTTAGAAGGTGGTAACTGACGGAGGGAAAGCAGCGTCAAGTACTTGGGGAGTACAGGATGAGGGGCAGAGTGTGCCACGTGTTTGAATAAGCCAAGCCTCACTGAGTACATGAGATGCCAGCCAATATTTAAAGAACGGGGAAGAGTGTTCCGGGCAGATGGGGCAGCCGGTGCGAAGGCCCTAGAGCCGGAGAGTGCCTGCGGGGCCTGAGGGGCAGCAGAGGCAGCAGAGAGGGCGGGCGGCAGGGGCTGGAGACTGCGAGAGTGGGGGTGGGGACGGCGGGGAGGCTATATAAGGCCTTGGAGACCTTTATTTTGACTTTGACTCAAAGCCGCTGGAGAGTTTTGAACAGGTAGCAATCCAATGTACATTTTGCAGGATCACTATGACTGCTGCATTGTGACTTGGTTGTAGAGGGGCAGGAGTGGAAGTAGAGACCAGCTGGGAGTTTTCTGCAATAATCCAGACAAGAGAAAACCTTAGCTTGCCCCACGGTGGTAGCAATAAAGGTGTAAGAGGCAGCAGGATTCTGGAGGTATTTTCAAGGTAGAACCAGCAGGATCTGCTGGTGTGTTTGATGTGTGCGCAGTGTGATAGATGGAGAAGAGGCAGGAATGACTGCAAATTTTGGCTAAACCCTGGAACAATGGAGTTTCCACCAAATGAGAGGGGAAAGGCCACGAGAGGGGCAGGTTGGGTGGGAAATGTCGGAAGTGCGGTTTTAGACGCTCTTTTGAGATGTATGTTAACGGCAAGTGGAGATTTGAGTAGGCAATTGAATGTATGAGGACGCAGTCTAAGAAAAAGGTCTGCTCTGGAGATACAAATTGGGGTTTTCAGCACATGGGCGCCAGGAAACTGCATGGGATCACCCAAGGACTGTGGGAGAGAAAGGAAGCGGAGCAGGCGGAGCCCTTGGTGTCTCCAACACTAGGAGGTCGGGAGAAGGGGTGGGATCTGCCGGGGAGACCTGGGAGGGTCAGGTGAGGCAGGAGGAAAACAGAATGGAACAAAGGGTATGAAGAGAGGGATAAGCCATGCAACGCTGCTAATGGCCAGGTCACATCAGGACTGGAAATTGACCTTTGACCTTAGCAATGAGAAGGTCATTCGTGAGCTTGACAATGGCAGTTTTGGTAGAATGGAGAAGGAACAAGACCAGACTGGATTGGGCTTAAGAGAAAACAGGACAAGAGCTGGGGGGGGGGGGGGGTAATAAACAACTCTTTCAACTAGTTTTGCTTTGAAAAGGAGCAAAGAATGGAAGATAGTATGTTGGTAGGGCATGTGGAATCAAGAGATTGATTTTTTTTTAATGTTGATGAGAATGTTCCAGGAAAGATGAAAAACTGATGAAATAGGAAGAAGAGGAAATGCTGGAGCAGTGTCCTTGAAAAAGGAGATGAACACAGTCCACACGTGGAGGAATTAGCTTTCGATAAGAGCATGAATAATTTCTCCATGGTTACGAGTGGCAAGGCGGCATACAGGCATTTCTGCAATAACCTGATAAATGTGCTCCTGAACATTTTTTTATTCTCAAATTCATGCACTAAAAATAACAACTTACTGAACAAAATAAGGTTGGGGCTGACTGTTCCAAACCTTTCTAACTTTGCAACCTGTGCACAGACAAAAATACCAATTAGCATAGTTTTTAAAGACATCGGTGTATTTCTAATAAAGACATCAGCAAATATAGAATTTCACCTTTCCAAGAAAAGGGCAAAGGCAGCTTGATAGAAATGGATAGAAGGAAGTGAGGCTGCTGAGTTGTACCGTGAGCACTTCCAAGACAGAACCTGTGGCCACGCTGACCGGAAGGGGAAGGTCGGTGAACAGGCACCGTGGACAGTACCTCCTTCCCTGCAGCTTGCTCACGTAGCTTATTCCCCCGGTGTCCTTCACATTCAGCTGCTCTTATCTAGTGGCACAAAATATTAATGTGCTGGGGGGAAAAAATCTCTTATAAAACCCATCCAGTTTCCACATTCTAGTGACATCATCCCCCAACTGAGCCGTACCATTTGAGTGAATGCCCATTACAGAAACACGCACCGTGGGAGAACAGACTCTGCGTGGGAGCAGATGCCGGAAGGTGGGCAGATGTGGAGGAGGTAGACTGTGGAAGTTCTCTCGACTGCTTTCATTTTCTCAGCGACAAATGACGTGGTAATTTCCCCAGTTCCCGAGCGGGAACAGCCCCCTCAGCAATTCCAGAATCCCCACAACGGCTTCCGACCCATGGAGTAAGGGTGTCTGTGGTTGCAGGGTCAGGTCACATCCTCCTTAGGCCCCCCTGGCAACCAAAGTAGCCAGACAAAGCAACACCATAACTGTGTAGGACCTGCAGCTCTTCGTGCCACCAGAAGAAAGGCACAGACTCTTGATGGAACTCCGCACCTGAAGGCGACCTCTGTCACCTTTGCTGCTCTGACGCAAGTTCCTTTAAAGAGAGGGCGCTCCAGCTGGGCCAGTTCCACTGCGAGCAGCTCTGCATTTCTGCCTCGTGACCCGGGAGAGCGAACGGTGCTCAGAGAGCCCTGCCTGGCCGGGGCCGCGGTGCTGTGTGGAGCGGAGACACGTCTTCATAGAGGAAGTCCAGCTGCAGCCTCTTAGCTCCCTTATGCAAGCACTTCTCCTTTTGGAAATAACTCCTGACCTCCTCCTGGGGCTTGCTACCAAGGGCTTGGCCACAAGACACTAAGGGACTGTGTGACCTAAACTGTCCGTCTTGAACTGGAAGTGAATGGACCCACTAAGCCACAAGGCCAGAGCCCTGCAGCACGCCCTCCTCCGGTGGAAGCTGAATGTCAGCACTGAGCTCCATGTCCTGAGGGTCCTAGTGAGATGCTGGAGCAGTCTGCACCGTACCCAGTGATGTGCCTCCTGCCTGCCTCGGTGCTACCCTCCCTCACGACCTCTGTCCCACGGGGAGTTCCCAGTGTGCCGTTCGCCAAGGAGGTGAAGAGCCAGCTCTGGTTTACAGGTGGCTCTACAAGGTTTGCTGGAGTCTGACTGCTGGGGCATTCCCATCTCCCTCGGGCCGAGCGACAGTGGGGCAATGGCATCTCCCCGGGGAGCAGCATGGAGAGAGGGCCACCCTGTGCACCGAGAGGCAGGTGTCCACCATGTCCTGGGCACCGTGAAAGGATGTGAGGAAGAGGAACGTGGGTGGACATCTCGGACAGGCCCCAGTATGGGAGAACACGTGTGTCCCACCAGAACAGCGAAGCGTCCCCACCGTGAGCAGGTCTAAGTATGTCAGCAGAAGGTTGCCTGCCCTGTGCCTTTCCCTCTCCCTTCCGCCAGCCGCCCTTGCTCAGTGGCCTCGTGAACAAAGTGGCCGTGGTTTCAGGACAGAGATGATGCATTGGCCCAATAAGGACTTCTCACCAAGGCTGGTTAATTTTCAGCACAGGAATGGACCCTCCCCTGTGGAGAGAGCAGTACCTTGTCCTCGCTGGAAGAACTGCTCTTTCTGGATGTGGGCTCTCCAGGCCAGCAGCATCTTTCATGGGCTCACCAAACTGCCTTGTTCACTATCATTTATTTCCACACATCAATGCTTCTCACCAGAGTCACCCACAGTGACATGAGTGAGACAACAGATAGGCCTATGCTCGTGGGGTTTCTAGTCTCACCATGTACCCCCTCACCGGGAACAGAGGCCTGTGGCATGGTGGAGCAGCCCATGAAACACTCCACACTGTGCCAGCAGAGAGAATTCCTTGAGGGGGCGAGACGCCTCCCGACAGGATGCCAGGTGTGCTACGAACCAGTGACCGATAGATGGCGCTCTTCCTCCCAGAGACAGAATAAAGGGTCAAGGAGTGAAAGTGGGAGGGGTCCCTGTCACCCTATCACCTGTTACCAGATCAACTCTAATTAAGCAGGTGCCATAATGGAACCCACTTTCTGGAAGGGTGACAGTTGAAGCACCTGGCCTCGGGTCAGCAGGGACAGAGGGCAGCATTCAGGGCCCAACATTTGTGGTGCGAGCCGTGGTGTGGGTGCCCAGTGGAGGCTGCAGTGGGTCACTGGGCCGCAGTCCTGTCATAGGGTTTGGATGGTGTTCACACTAATTGTCGGACCCCCTTGAGCATAACATATTTTTTAATAAACCCCTTTTTCCTAAATGACCTGGAGGGATTCCGACGGTAGCGGGCACCCTGTCCCCCAGCCCTGGGCCATGCAGCACACTCCTGGCGTGCGGGCCTCTCATTATCGACGACGCCCCCCGCGTTGCATTTCCCTTCGCCTTATTTCCCAGGTTTC